TCTTATAAAGTACTTTTTAAAATATTTCTTATAAAGTACTTTTTAAAATATTTCTTATAAAGTACTTTTTAAAATATTTCTTATAAAGTACTTTTTAAAATATTTCTTATAAAGTATTTTTAAAATATTTCTTATAAAGTACTTTTAAAATATTTCTTATAAAGTGTTTTTAATGTTTCTTATAAAGTATCTTTAAAATATTTCTTATAAAGTATTTTTAAAATATTTCTTATGAAGTATTTTAATGTTTCTTATAAAGTATTTTTAAAAATATTTCTTATTACTCAAAACTGATTCACTACTCAAAACTTACTTTTCGGTGAGTGATTGGTGCGAAAACGAGATTCGTTAATGCCTCGGCTAGTGACATTCGAGCACCAGCCTCTGCACTCAGCATTCCTTTTACCGGCTGCTCTCCGACAGCCACTGCGCCACCTAACTGAAATTTATCATGCAAACAAACAAACAAACAAACACACAAGACAATCTAAATTTAAACCTAAAAATACTAAATTGCTCACGTTATTCCAATAGGACAGCGCCACAACACCCACATCGGCCAGTGGTGTCTGTAATGGTCCAACGCATTGCTGCTGTGCAATCAGTCCAGTTACTGATCGATCCACCTGAACAGTTTCTTTCAATTTCTTCTGATCAATCGATAACTAATTTAAGGCTCCCTCCCATAAAACATCACAGATCATCGAACCTTATTCGTCAGAAATCGCTTCGAAGCAACCGATGGTAAACGCAACACTAACGCCAACGCGTCTTGAGTCGATAACGTTGAGGGCACTTTCAATTGCACGCTAGTGCGAGGTATAGTTTTTAAATGAAATACCTTAAAAATATTCACTCACATTTTTCCATTGATCACTTATTTAATGATGACCAAGTGCTAAATACATACAACAATGAATAATCAATCATAAAAAGATTACAATTTACCTTGGGTGCCCTTTGCCCAAGAACACCTAAATCGAGATTCACTGGAGCACTATCGGTATTGCTTGAATCATAATCTAGCAAAACAACCTGCAACATAACAATAACAATAACAATAACAATAATAACAATAACAATAATAATAACAATAACAATAATAACAAAACAATAAAATACCTTGCGATCTCCAGTCACTTCACCGACCACAGAAACTGAGCATTTTTCACGTTTAGCAATGCGTTGAATCAGGTTTACATTGCTCGCATCCAAGAGAATCGCATCGTTCTCTTGATATTCCGCACCCCAGAGCTCACGAATCGACAGCGTTTGATCACCCCTCGGGAAGTTGCACGCATGCAATACGGCACCACCACATTCTTCATCGTCAACGATCTCCTTCAGAACGTTACCTGAAAAAACAATCAAATTATTTATTCACTTTATGCGATCGATGCACTCATCATATTCATTCACACATCAAATATCATGCACTCACCATTGCCACCTGCACCCTGATCGTGTATCGATAGAATCGGATTGTTTTCAGCGTACTCGACACACGCTCGAATCACTCGATGTAATTTCTGCTCCATTTCTGGATCGCCACGTTGAACCGCTCCGAAATCCAATTCCGAATCACGTCTCTCATCATCACCTTCAATAACAAAACAAGCATTCAACACTTTAATAAATAATGAATGCACTACTACCTTGAATTTTCACCGAACTTGCAGCCCCTCCACCCAGACCAATACGATATGCTGGTCCACCGATTTTCGCCACTAAAGTGCCGAGTTCAGGTCGTCGCTTCTTGATCTGAGCCTCGTCAATACTACCGATACCGCCCGAGAACAGTATTGGCTTCACGTATTCCCATCGTTCGTCAGCTATTCTCTGCCCAAACGATCTACTGAAGCCACATATAACCGGCTCACCTGAATTATTTCTGCATCACTCCGCACCACACCACCATTAACACCATTAAAACTAACCGAATTTATTGCCGTAATCACTTGCACCGTTACTCGCTTGAATGATTATCTGTAATCGTTTGCTCATTATCACAATAACAATAACAACAACAACAACACAAACAACTAACATCTCGAGGATGAGCGAATTTGCGATCGTATTTGAAGTGCTCCTCTTCCCACGGCAATGCATAGCCATCTAAATGCATATTACCAAATGCATACCCTACAACACCAGCTATCTCGTGTGCACCTGTAATTAAACACCATCACCCAAAATAGAGCCAGCCATAAATATTACGATGCTCCTCACCTCGACCAGTCGCATGAATGTCACGAATTCGTCCACCTGTACCAGTTGCTGCACCCGGAAATGGGCAAACACCTCAACGCAACAACAATCATTATCGAATGAATATCGATTGCACAAACAACAAATGCGATTCTGATTATAACTTTGTGATCAGATCGGATCAGATCAGATCAGCTCAGATCACCAACCAGTTGGGAAGTTGTGTGTTTCGGCTGAATAAATGATATGTCGTTTGGATTGTATCGCAGCAATTTCAGACACACTACACGGTGATAATGATAACAGATTGAAAACGTCGAAACCTTCTATTGCACTGCAAAAAATATTTTCAAAACGCACTTCAATAACGCTCGCTCGCTATTTCAATCCAAATTTTACATCTAACAATTAAACATCTTCTAAAAAAACTTCTAAATTTTCATTAATTGAATAATAATACTAATAATAATAATAATAATAATAATAATAATAATAATAATAATAACCTGCTATTATCTGAGAAGGCAATAATATTATTCGCATTTGAATAAATCTGCGTTTCACGTAAACTATCAAATAATGTCTTATCACGTTTCACACCATCCACTATCAATTCACCTCTATAATAAAACCGCTCAGATAATTAGATATAAGCCAAATCGTAGCCTGCTCTGGCTCACGCTCACAACACAACACTCCCTTTCGTTTCCTTTACTCGAAACCGATTGCTCTACCTATACCACATCTTTACCACAAATACTTTTCTATAGCATTCCAATCGCATATGCTTTGTAAATGCGATAATAATAATAATAATAATAATAATAATAATAATAATCATAACAAATAAGTGAACTCACTTAAAAAACGTGTGTCTGCTATGTTCACTGTTCGATTGTGCTAAGTCAAATAATTCGACGTCGGTTGGATTGCGTTTGAGTTTATTCACAAATAGATCATAATAGTAATCCAAATCCGCTTCATCAAATGCCAATCCTTTAATGAGCATCCAACCATCCACTCATATAATCCAAATCAAAGCCTAAGCCTCCTTACCAAGTTGTTCGTTTGCAGCACGCAGATTTTCGGCTGCACTCATCAGATCCACCTCGAAATATCGCTCAGGCACATCGAATCTCTCGAAACACATCTCCGCATCGTGTTCATACTCGCACTCAGTCATTCTATCGTGAAGCATCGCCAAGATCTGCTCACGATCGCTCAACAATACTTCTTGATCACCTATAAATCACTCTTAGTCTTATGCTTCTTATGATCACAACAAATAACTAACCTCCACCAATTATTCCTATCTCATAACGCACTGATCTTTCCAAACGGCGTACTCCATCGATTCCAGCTGCCTGACATACGGCCACTGCATTCGTACTGAATGCTGTCGTGAATGTTCTTCTAAAATTCATCATCACTAAATCAGTGGCTCACATCAATGCAGCATCGAAACAGAATGAACAAATAAATAAATAAACAAATAAATATATAAATAAATAAATAGATAAATGAATAAATAAACAAATAAACAAATAAATAAATAAATAAACAATTAAATAAACAAATAAATAAACAAACAAATAAATAAATAAATAAATACACATCAACTCATCTGAATTCATTCCCCTTAAATCTTAAATCGAATCTTAAAATCGCTCATATCCATCACATGAAATGATCACTGATCAAACAAACCAAGTGATTTACAGATCACAAAAACTATGTGATTTTCTCCACAAATCCCTCCCACATCTCTCACTATAATTCCTTTACTTTTTACCGTGAGATTTAACCAAGCCAACATATAAATTTAATTTAAAAAACCAATCAAATCAAATCAAATCAATCAAAAAACAACGAATTAAAGCAAATAAATTCACCTCGGTCCAATTTCAAAGATATTTCTCCAATTTTTACTCTCAAATGCAGATTTTTTTGTGATTTGTCGTTGTCGTCTATTAGAATTGCACTTACTCAACAACTCAACAGCACTATTGAATGGATCATCACAGAGAATCCACTTTAAACGCTCTCCAAAACACTCTTCAAATCGTTCTACTGAATACTCGTTCGCATCAATCACCACATGATAACAATACTCCACACCGATCACAATTCTCTCCAATTGAATTCGTTCAATTTCAGCGATTTTCTTGCGTATCAACCCCAAGTGAAAGTCCACTGGCGGCACAGCCATCTGAAGCTGCTGCCCCATCATCTGCCCTTCTGATCCGTTCATATCATTCACTTGATTCTCACTTGATCCATCTTGTACAATATAATACCGTAAATGATGAGTTTCACTTACTCGAGCCTCAGTAACCGAGTACTCGCTTGATAGCATCTTCATTCACTTCTCTAAATATTATTAATGCTCAAGCTATCACACTATTATTTAAATAATTAACATAAATATCACGCTAACGTAAATATTATTATATCCAAAATTTAACATAAAACAATCGCTATTAACAGACAAAACACATCCTATGAGAACCACTCATCTAAAATACTGAATCAAATCAACTTTGGTATGCAATGTGCACTTGTCAAATTAATAATACTAATCAAGAGATAGTAGTCATCACCACCACAATCATGAAACCACACTAGTTATAATCAATAATCATAATGATAACCTAATAACCAATCATTATCATCATCATCACTATCCCTCTTGTCCACTAAAATAAGACTTCTTGTAACCTTTACCTGTATTTTATATTCCCATAAAACTAATCAAATCATTACTATACTACTTACTGCTAACGCTCTACTAATAAACAGTAACAATAAAAACAAAAATTCTAAAGAACGTCCAATGCAAACCACTTTCTTTGTTGTTGTGCTCATTACAACAGCAAAATTCACACCAAATTTTAACTTTACACATCAGAAATCTATATGACAAGGCAAACACCGCTACGAAAAGACAAAATGTGCTCACAATCAGTGCAAAATTGTAAAAACAATTCATTCATTCATTCATTCCTTCACATCTATAATATTCTATCATCATTATTATTATAATCAAAATCAATTTCATTAAACTTTCATTTCCTGATGCTTCAAATTATATTCTACCACTATTACTATTACTATTACTATTACTATTACATGTACTATTAATATGATATATTACCAAAGGCAAGCAGCAGCAGCAGCAATTCACTCATCAAAACATCTCAAAAACATTACGTTTGCATGTGTCTTTCTAAAGAATACAAAATGAATCAATCGCACGCAAACAGACAAATACCGTTGGTTGCTTTGTTAGTTCGTATGAATAAACATTCAGCATTTAATCCTCCTATTATATCACGGGTTTGCTCGTTAGCTGGCTTTAGCACTTAATCTTACAAGTAAGTAAGTGCACAATCATATCTATCCTCCTCTGATCCTTCATCACCAAATTCTCATCTCATCAAAAAGCTTCCTTCCATCCATCCATCTAGCATATTTATCACTTCCAAATCACCGTTATTATCACTATCATTATCATAATAGATAAGCAGCAGATGATAGCTAGCGTGAAAGCTGGCTGCAGTCCTTAAAAACTGAACTGAACCAATTGAAAAGTCAGTCTATCTCCATGACGATTGCTCACTTCTCGGAACATCCGATCGACAACGAACTGCTTCAAATCCCAACGGATCGTTCAATTCAAAATCAAATGATACATCAATCTCACTCATATCATACTTACTACCATTCAGTCAAAAGCAACTGATATGATATGATAGTACTAATATGATGCATAATAGTTATCTAAGCAAATCAACGCACTCATCAAATAAACACAATTTCAATGACCTTGTCTATCAAAACTTATCATAAATCTTACACTATTCACGTTCTATTCTATTACCCTTACTACTAACATCACTCATAGACCACAACTCACTTACTCAAATAAACGCCAAGTAAATCCGAAGCCAAGTCCCGCTTTCGAAGCAAATCTATCTCCCTCAGTCAAAAAAAGTGCAAACGAAAACCAAACGAGATTACAACACCAAAAACAATGATGATATCTTGTAAGTGATAGATACATATCATAGATACAACAGGGCCAATCTAAAAAACGCTCATGCTAAACAAACACCAACAACACAAAGAATATAACTGAAAATCCAAAACAAAACAAAATCCATTCATTCTGTTATGCATAAGACGACTGAAAATAAACCGAGATGAAAATAAACTAAAATTTTAAAAAGAAGAAGAAATTATAAAAAGACAAGACAACGACGAACAAAATAATAACGCCAATCAAAAACTGATCACAACCCAAAATGTTTATCATTCGAACGCCACCATTATTCGCCCCCCACAACCCCAACAAAACAAATCCTTCGCCCCACATATTCCCTATGAATTCGCGCCAGAGCACAAACCTCCTGCACAAATCACGTCCAAACTCAAACGTCCAAATTATTCATCTATCTAAGCATGCATCCCACTCGTTCAACAGAGATTCTGCTCGATCGACTGGTGTGAAGAACTTGATATGTTACTGGTCAAAGCTGAGGGTACAGTAGGTTTGAATGTGCCACCCTATAGCATCAGAAAAATAGCTATATCTCCTCGCAGAGGCGAAATTTTCCTGTGAGCTTTTCATCTTTAGAAAGCAGAGATTCTGCTCAATCGAATGATGTACAAACTTGAATATGTTTCCGGGCAAACATGAGAAGACGGTAGGCTTGAATGTACCCATATTTCTATANATTGATCTATAGTGATCAAATGCATATCAATGAGCACCTCAGCGCCAGTTCAGATAGCTCTAATCAAATAGCTATAGCTCCTCAACTAAGCGAAATCGCCCGACAAAATATATATTTTTCTAAATGCAGAGATTCTGCTCGATCGACTGGTGTGAAGAAATTGATATGTTATTGGTCAAAGCTGAGGGTACGGTAGGTTTGAATGTACATTCGTTTTAAAAATAATGCCAAAACACAAGCAGATAAACATGCAAAATAAATGAACAAAACTAACAAGCATACTCAAATCCTTAACCGTTTCATGCACATAACCATTGGTCGTGTATTAACCCTGAATTAATTCATTTCTATCATTTATTATTCATTCATATCGTTAAAACAACATTAAAAACATCACATTTATCGTCATTGTACAATAGCTTATAAATATACAATTGTTAGAGGATACAATATTAATGACAATAACAACAATAATAATAGTAATAATAATAATAATAATAATAGTAACAATAATAATAATAATGATAAATAATAATAAATAAACATACTTTACCACAAAACAATATATTCCTAATCATCTTTAAGGTGCTCTTTTCCTTTTTGCGCATCTGCGATATTTTTCTTAATTTCATTTATGTACGTAGATGCGTCTTGAAATTGCTCATCATCCAGTATCCCTAAAAAACAGCAATCACCACAATAATCAACAACAATAACAATAACAATAACAATAGCAATAGCAATAACAATAGTAATATTAACCTCTGCCAATGAATTTCGCTTCCTTGGCCGCCTCTTCACAGATGCCAATGGTCTCTAAATCGGCCACATCCAAATAAAACTTCGACAACTTTGATAAATTAACGTAAATCGCTAAACGCTCAGGTTGATTCTTCTCCTTCCACACTCGACGCGATGCTTTCAACACTTCCAAATAACATTCCTGGATGCACACACCATACAAAACCATCCTCCATCATAACATAATACATCCAAATTACCTATTTTTAATATTATTCTTAATACATCTAAATACTCACCTTTAATTTACACCACGCATTCTCGCGCTCCTCATCGCGAACACAGCTGTTCAACTTACTAAAACACTCGTACAATGTCGCCTCATAATTAATCAACCATTCGGCTTCTCGACTAAACGTCGTACACATTAATCAAAATCAAATCAAATTACAACCAAACCAAATTATCAAATCACTAAATCACATCAAACTCATACAATTCCTTGAATGTAAACTACTACAAATAATAATAATAATAACAATCACTAACCATACTTTGATTGGTTCAATAAGTTCTAATGCTGCGTTACATGCATCTTTCTTCTCATCTCCGAAACCAGCACTACAATTCAACAGCACTTATTCATTCATTCAAGCCCGAATCTGAACCTGCTCACGACGATAAGTCAACAGCCGTTTCAAGAAGCAATCTGAATAATCCAGCGTTTTCGTCCCTCACCTCCTTACTAACTTTCAATAAATTCTCTTCACAAAGCACTCAGTCAACTCATTCCACTGCCACAAAAACAAAAAAAACTCACTTAAACACAAAACATAAAATGAATATCCAAACGTCTATAAATGTCCAAATACATGATGCTATCAATTCTTACCGTACGCCCATAAACAACCTCTACAATACTAGATGCGAATTTAAGATGTACCTAACAGCAAAATACACCAATTGCTGCTTGCTTCTTAAACCACCCATAAATCTGGCCAGATTTTTCGGCAATGCTCTGCTATAGAATGCTCGACAAACCTTGTAATTTTACTGCAGACCACCCAGTTCATTAATTCAATTTCAGCGCTTTTCATGTCGCCGCCTTGCATTGAAACGATTTCCTTTAGTTGTTCCATTGCATCATCCCATTTTTCTTCTTCATTTAATGTCTTCGCCTTTTCAAATAGTTCATCACGACTTTTATTTTCTGTTGTTGTTGGTGGTGGTGTCGTCATGTCGCTGTCTCCTTAAGTGCGCAATCATAATCAATATGCAGATCAATAGATCAATAGATTGTAGATCAATAGATCAATAGATTAATAGATCTGTAGATCAATTGATCCATAGTGATTGATCATCACATCTGTTATAGATCAATCACTGTCACTGACGAATCGCAATAATCAAACAAGCAATACTTGAAAGTCTTGAATTCACTTGCAATCGCATTCTATGAATCGCACTCTCATTTTTACTCTCAATAATAATAATAGTAACGAATTAATGACAACCGAAATATTAATAACAGTGACAATAATAAAAAAAACAATAATAATAATAACAATAACAATAATCATGTTCTCTACCCTTATTCTTGCGTTGTTTTACTCTTGCTAGTGCTGATTATCTCTACAATAACCCTTCCCAAATGATATAATAAAGCTACACGAGTAAAACAGCATAAGGGTAAACGTTTTAAAGAAGACTATAATTATTATCATCGGCAGTAGACTTGAATTGTTGAACTGAATATTAACCACTGAATAATAACCATTCGCAATTAAAATTCAACAGCAACATGAACATGAACTTTCACGAGAAAATTTCAATGCAATATTGAATGAAAGACAAAATCCTGAACAGATAGATAGATACGTCGGCAACTGAGACGAAACAGGTGGATGGATGGCTGGATGGATGGATGGATGTTTAAAAGCAATCAAAACAACAACAATAAATGAGCAGCTCAGCTCGTTCGTTCCCTTTCAATTCAACTTCTCTTCAGCCAATCCTCCTCAATCCACTAGCTGCTCATCACTGGATAATAACATAATCGCTTAATTGTTCTCATAGCTATTAACGCTTCCAGCCAAGAGAACATGCTCACCTTATGGTGGTTGTCAGGTGCTCTTTAAAGCATTATTATAATATTTATGAGCTAATCGAGACAGACTTGAGCTTAAATGGATTTGAGCTCAAACATTTTGCAGTCTAATAGTTTCCTGCCTCAAAGATAAATGCAGTCCAGCAGCGCAGTTACTCATCATGAAGACTTTACTCATCCGAAACTGATTACTCAATCACGAATGAATGAAGCGGACTATTCGAATGAGAGAGCGATCAGCAATAGAATGTGATAACACAACATGAACGAACACAAAAAACAAATATCTTCAACTATGCTCTGCTCTTTCAACTTCATTCATATATTACGAGTAATTCAGTGAATAAATAAATAAAGAAGCCTTTTAATAGATACAAACAAGCTTTAACACCAACCAACACCTTACAGCTTATGCTAGTTGATGAACAGATAGACAGACATATGATATATCACTGCAGTTACTAGCTTAGCCGCTGCTTAACTCAACACGTTAACAGCGATAACGGCAGTTATAACAAAAATATATATCACCTATACAATAAATAACCACAATGATAACAAAAATATATATCACCTATACAATAAATAACCACAATGATAATAAATAAATAAATAAACCCACCATTTTTTTGCATCCGAATTTTTCTTCGCCTTCTTCCTGATCAAGTTTTCCATCCACTAATACCATCATCCGAACGAGTTCCACCATTTGTCCATCAATAACACTAATTTCTTGCGGAATGTACACCTACGTTCTCTGACGCTAACAACATATTACATACACTTACGTCACCACCACCTGATATAAAACAATCGCAATGAAGTAATGAATTTATCGCGAGCATTCGAACGACACAACCTCATCAGATTATTACGGGGACGGAGCGAAGAATAGGGGAACGAGAAATAATGCGAATGGGCGAATATGATGGCTACAAATAAGATGATATCGCCATCAATGGACTCGGTTCAACACGAATACACGGAAAAATCATAGGGTGTTCGTATAAATTTATGAAGTTATGGCCATTTCAATGTAACAGTATGATGAGGCAAGAGAACGCGCATGTACTGAAATCATCAACGGGGTAATTTTGGAGTGCGAGAAGTTTCAGGTTGGGAATGAAGATGATATGGTAATGAATGGATTCCGTTGAATACAAATACACGAAAAAATCATAGGGTGTTTGCATAAATTTATAAAGTTATGACCATTCCAATGCAACTGGATGCGCATGTAACGCATACCAGATTGATGATTTCAGTACATGTGCGTTCAGTTGTCTCATCTTAACAGGTGGACGCGTATGTACTGAAGTCATCAACGGGGTATTTTTGCAACAAGACTGATATTTTAGATGAAAACACGATTGTGAAGAGAGCAGAACAATATCGGATAAACTTTAAAAGACCAGTACTGCTCGATGAAAGAGAAAGAAGCAAAGCAGTGAGGGTCATCTTCAGATGAAGATCAAAGGAAGCCGCTCTAATTAATTAATTAAACGTTAATTAACAATTAATGCACTTAAAACAATTATTGTACCGTTGTAAAAACACCAAAACACGACCAAATACGAAAATCGATGGCAAAATCCACTGTAAGCCAATTCAAATACAAATTCAAATACAAAAACCGCCCGAGGGCTACCGTAACAAGCCTGAAAATCCAATTGCTATAGGCAATAGGCGCGTCCCAGGATCAATAATGTGACCGCCAGCGGGCAACGTTCTGGATGCGTGGGATGCGCATTTCGCCACACTCGCACTCCTCTCACCCCACTCGCATCGAATACTCGCACTGTTTATAGTGACTAAACACTCGCACTGTTTATAGTCACAGTTAGTTAATTACTTAGTTAATTGCTTAATTAATTAATTAATTGCACATTAATCTTACAATGCTTGTAAGCTATTAAATACAACGGTATAATCGCTGTAAAATATTGTATTTTTTGTAACCGTTCAATACTTCTAGTGTTATGTCCTCTTGTGATGCGACACAACTACGTTAACAAAGGTATTTATTGCACCACACAACAATATGGGGTTAAGGGATGCAACAGAACAATGGACGTGGACTTGCTACGCAGGAGAACAACTGCAATACGAGAAGCCAACAAGAACAAACTATTAACTGATCTTACAACAATGAACACGTTACTGCTCACTGGACATTTGACTGTAACAACAGTTGACTATATAGAGATCAGCTCTCATTATGTGTTCATACGCAACATATAGATCATTGAATGATCGGAATGCTGCCAATCGGAATGCTGCCAGTTGAAATAGGCGCAAAACGGACTGCAATAGGCCATTTGGGTGATGAAATATGCAAATGACACGGAAATATTTGCTCACCAACACACACACACAGATATTTTGCTTGAACTGGAAGTCATGTAGAAGGCAGTTTGTTACGAGAAATAGGGGACATTTGGGGAGTCGTTGCAACATTTTTCAAGGCACCAGTATTTTTGGGCTCCTCAACTCGCCTACTGCATGCGCGCCTACTGTATGCTGGAATACTATCTCGCATTTTTAAAATCTCTGCTTTCGCACTTAATAGTTTTGAGTTCAGGTTTTTTTTACAGTTACCATCTTGAAGCTAATGGAACTCTCAGGTTTGCTCAGTAACTTGGCAATTTTTTCACATCAGTGGATTCCTCAGATTCTCTAGATTCAAAAAATCATATATATTGTCGGGCGATTTTGCTTACTTGAGGAGGTACAGCTGATTTTCTGAACCAATCTTAAGCAGCTCGGCGGCGCTCGTATCTATGCATTATTAAGGTCACTATCTTCAAACTAACCGTGTCCTCAGGTTTGCTCAGTAACTTGGCAATTTATTCACATCAGTGGATTCCTCAGATTCTCTAGATTCAAAAAATCATATATATTGTCGGGCGATTCTGTTTCTATTCAAAGTATTTAACTGATAAAATTGATAACCCCCGCATTCAATTGATGGCGATAGGTTGGAGGGCAGTCAGTGAAAGATGTGGCGAAATGCTCTAACGCTGCTGGATTCACTCCTGTGTTCTCTGACTTTTGTATGTTTGTGTAGCTTGTGGACGTGCGTGCGTGTAGGCTGTTATTGTTCTACTGCGTATTATTGTTTTATTATTGTTTCATGTATTGTTGTTTATTTATTTAAAGTGTTATTTCTTGATTAAATGTTATTTGTCATTAGATGGCTAATTATTCTTAGAAGATTTGTTAATTTGCTATCGTAATAGAAGTGCAATTGTTCATATACGAGTGAGAGAGATAGATTATGGTTGTTGCTATGTGCCCATTGGACAGGCTTGGTCTCCGTTTGATGCTGTTCTCTCTCTTAGTCGTTATTGCTACTGTATCTGTTGCGTCTTCTCCTTCCCTTACTCGTATACGATGTTTATATATTCATGCCATATAGAGTACTGTAGCCTTTGATATGATGTGCGAGTGAGTGTCTAATATGGTTGGATTTAATTAAGTAACATTTTAAACTCTCGCACGATCGATTCTGAAATTTTTTCAGCCGGATCTAAGAGGCACGGTTACACTTCTACCGTCTCAGATTCCATAAAGTGCTCTAAATTGTGAACCTGATCCGGAACAATATTTTTAGGAACAAACATACAGAATCTCAAGTCTATGGCTATAAAGTTATGAATGATTAAAAGGTTTCTCAGGCCGGTTCGTCGTGTGAGGGTTAAGTGAATCTGAAACCGAATGAGATTATCTTGATAATAAGTATCTTGTGCTGAGATGCAGACTTACCAATATATTTGGTTGCTGAGTTATGCAATTAAAAATGTACTCACTCTAAAATGTGTAAATAATCTCAGTACAGTAATCGTAATGTATCGTTCGTTGTGTTATAATCTCAGTAACGCATTAATAATTATTAATAAATTATAGATTGTTATCAATAATAATTGGAATTATTATCAGTGGAAGTAAAATTATTGATAATGTATGCTACGGTAATTATTGATAATACATGGTAAAATTATTGATAATATATGGTATATCAACTAAATTTCACATCATCAGCATCCTTCGACTTCGTCATCGGGGTTAGTTCTTTCCCAACGATATCAATTTTGCGATATGTAAGTTGAATTGATTTAGTATTGCGTTGAATTGCGTGATTTGATGTCGTTTTATAGTATCGTTATTTGCTCGTATCATTGTCTCATCATATTTCGCGTATTCGTGTTGAGTCGCGTTCCTTGATTGTGCTATCGTCTTATTTCTTAACCTGAAACTTCTCGCACTCCAAAATTACCCCGTTGATGATTTCAGTACATGTGCGTTCTCTTGTCTCATCATACTGTTGCATTGGAATGGTCATAACTTTATAAATTTATACGAACACCTTATGATTTTTTCGTGTATTTGTATTCAACGGAATCCATTCATTACCATATCATCTTCATTCCCAACCTGAAACTTCTCGCACTCCAAAATTACCCCGTTGATGATTTCAGTACATGTGCGTTCTCTTGTCTCATCATACTGTTGCATTGGAATGGTCATAACTTTATAAATTTATACGAACACCTTATGATTTTTTCGTGTATTTGTATTCAACGGAATCCATTCATTACCATATCATCTTCATTCCTAACCTGAAACTTCTCGCACTCCAAAATTACCCCGTTGATGATTTCAGTACATGCGCGTTCTCTTGCCTCATCATACTGCCACATTGAGATGGCCATAACTTCATAAATTTATATGAATACCCTATGATTTTTTCGCGTATAACTTGATGAATTCTTTAAGAGTAGGGCATACGATGTGGATTTAATTGATAATTAAATGAATAATATGTCAAGTAGAGTATTCGTCTCATGAAAGCAGATACTTTTACTGGATATGTTTGCGGATATATCTATAATATATTAAGCGTAGACAATGTCACACATACATAAAAGGTATAGATATATACACATATGAGATCACATCTATCATCTATGAAGTTATTTGCATTGTGAGAGGGAACGATGCGATAACAACTGATTAATCAAGAAGACTGTCAGATATACTTGAAAGCGATCAGTTGATGCGAATTATAAATTACGGAATGATGTGAATGTTAAGTAACGTTTTATTGAGTGGATAGCGAGAGTCTTCATTCGGAGTGATTATATTGTGTTATAGCAGTGATATTATCAATGATTATAGTGATAACGTGAATGATAGTAGTGATAAGGACAGTGATAATAATAGATGTACGTGTATATGATTTAACATAATGAAACACGGTAACAATTTAAGTGAACTTATTTGGATAGAATGGAATCAGCGGTGTAGCCAAAGGGTACTCCTCCCTCGGCCATCTCAAAATTGAGTTGTTTTTGGAACAGACTAATTTGCGTTCCCCAACCCCGTTGGAAGAGATCCTGGCTACGCTGCCGAATGGATTAGATAAGTGATGATAATAATGATTTAGTGATAAATGTTAATAAATAAGGAGTCATGTTTACAGTAATTGAAGGCGCACTTAAATACATACTGTTTTTTGGAATATGAGCAGGGATAGGCACTAGCGAGTGTTTCAGAACAGCTACTCGGAAATAGCTATTCTTTTGACTAATTCGTTTGACATCGGTTAATTAGCGAATAGCGCAATATTGCCCATCTTTGAATATTGGCATTTTGTTATCTGGGTAGTGTCATTGATTTTTGTTTAATAAATTCAGAGTTGGGATCGTTAAGAGTGGACGTATTAGTAGCAGTAGGAGTAGTTAGAGTTATTTGCGGGTAATTTGGTGATGGGAACGGTTGAGGATAGTCCGTGGGACGTGTTCTTGTGCTGATGTTGATTGGAGCACTCGTTTGGCTGTTGTTAGATGATGGTGCTGAAGATGAATAAGTTTGCTCTTGCTGGGATAGTTTGAGTTTTTGCTGATTCAGTCTAATCCACTTGTTTATTGCCGAAGGTACAGTTGCATCATCACCTTAAATGATTAACGGGGTGATTTTAAATGATACTGATAAAGTAGTGATGATGATAGTTGCGAGAATGACAATAGTTACTACCTGCTGCATTGGGTTGATACTTATTGGGTGTGTTCAGAATATCAATGTAATCGTTGAAATTACAGCAGGAAATGGCTTTTCGTTGCAGTTGATCGCTACCCATCTGATAGACAATTGAGCGCTTGATTGTACCGGCCCATAATGACTCAACGCTTTGCGACTGTAAACAGCAAATGAAATATTTGGTTATTATCATTCCGTCCGTCGTTTGTCGCAAAAATTTTTAGGATTAATATTCAGTGAACACAGCCAATAGAGCGAGCACAACTAGCTAGGTGGGATAGCACATGAATGTTAATTTAACCAATTGGTTTATTTGAAAGCTGAAGTGGTGGCAAATAAAAGTGGTAGGATTTGAATGTGCTTTTGAAGTTTCATTAGAATCCTAGCTCTGTGTGGCATTATTTTAGGTGGGATTAACTAACTGTCTTTAAACACATTACAAGTGAGTTAATCAGTGAATCTAGTGGATATACGTGTTATTTGTTATGTTTACCTGTTGATTAGATCCACTTCCAACACGTTTTCCATCTGGTGTGTATAGATAAGAAATGGTATTTTGTTGTTGTTGCAGTTGGAGGTTGAGTTGATGTTTTGAAGCCGCAGCAGCAGTAAGCCGGTGTTGATGTAGATGTCGATCAGCATCAAACAGCGGTGGTTCATTACTGGGCGGTGCTGCGTAGTACTCAGAGGGCGATTCGCACGGCATATTAATTATTCCAATCATATTTGCGTGAGTAATTTAAGATTGACGAGCGAATTACGGAGGAGATTTATGCAGTTAATATGCAGATAAAATAGATGCGGCAGCAGTAGATTTGTTCGCGAGTGATCTGCAAATTCTAATATAATAAGTTATCGAGCCGAACAATCGAAGGAACCTGTGACAAAGCTTGTCTCGAGGTCAATACTAGTTACTGCAATACTCTGGATGCATGTCCCACATGTTTTCAACCCCTGTCGTCAATCACCATTGTTGTTGTGATGATCACTGAGTATGGTTATCATCAGATATCTATCTATCTATCTATCTATCTATCTTTTAGTTAATGAATAATTTCTTTTAAAGAGTAAACGAGTAGGAATATTATATGGCAATATGAAAATAAGAAAGATAAGGAATGGAATTAGTTTAGTAGTGATAAGCCACTAAATCAAGCAAAGCTGCAGGCAAGCAGCACACCAATGGTCTAATAACAACTGAAATCTTTCGAGGGTTTGTAGACTTTTATAGAGTTGATTGTGAGTGATCAGCATCTAGATTGCATGATTGTTATGTTTATTATTATTGTTGGCAGTGGGAGGCATTCGATGACGAAAGCATAGAAAAAATAATGCAATTTGATACATTCAATCGAACAAATACTTGAACAGAATAGTAGAGTGCAGCCGCAATCCATGTGATACATATGGAATACAATAGCTCATGGAATTGCATTATATTACAAAAATAGATTACACTGGTTTACTCGAACATATACAATAGAACGTATGAATAAGGTAAAATATAATGCGCAATTATGAATAGATTGGCGATTGATTGGTTTGGAGGAAAAAAAGATGAGGCAGCTGAGGGTATTTGGGTACATTTCGAAATGGAGTTGGGAGTGACACTGAACAAAATAAGTGGTGTTGGGAGAATATAAAGTAATCGCATACTTTTGAAGGACCAATTGAGTGAAAAAACAGAACAATTTAATCTGTATTTTGGAAAAAATGAATTATTTTTGCTTGTGTTGAAATTCGGAGGAGAGAAAATGAGTGAGGATTGTGTGAGGTGCAATGGGGCTGGTGGTTGAGTTGAACGTATTAGGTGAGACATGAAGTAATTGGTGAACGAGTTGTTGTTAATTTTGAGATTATCTTTTAGAAGAGTTTTTAGAGACGAAACACATTTCAAATAAAATTATTTTCGTGAATCATTTTGAAATTTTGAATTGCTTTTGTGTGTTTTCTATGGGATAGGATTGAATGAGCTAAAATATTCATTCGATCGAATCGATTCAGTTTTGCATTGATACGGAATAATCGAAGACAGAATAAATTAAATGACGATGCAAATGGTAAATAATATTCAGCATTAAAATTTCGTTAAAAAATAACTTGCGTTTGCTTTATTAGGCTTATGAAGAAATTCAATGAGAATTAATTGTATGTATGTATGTGATCTACAGCAAATATACTGCTAAAAGCATGGTCTATTGTCATTTACGTATTTATTTCATGAGCAAATGCAGCAACTTATTACGAGTTTATGCCTCTCGGTTATTATCAATATCACTGACACTGTTATCACATTCTTCCTTTCTTGGCAATCTTCTTTCCGCGCAGCTAACGTTAGGAATTATCTGCAGCCGTCATTAAATTCTAACTTGGATCATTGATATATCTGACGAGCACACAGCTACTCTCCATCCCAGTCATTTCTAGGGAGAGGGATCAGACGGAGCCCGAAAATACACTCCGATTGATCGATTGAACAACTTGAATATGGAGTATTTTTTGAGTGAGACGTGCCTTGCGTCATTTGATCTGCTGACACGTTGTCGCTTTACTATTGATGAATGGAAACAAGTAAAATAGTTATACTGTGTGACGTATGATAGATAATGTAATGTGTAACAATTATTTGTTATAGTAATACACTGTACAGAAGCTTAGTTTGTAGTGCTAGCATTAAAAGGATTGTTATGATTTGTATGGTTATGAGGATGATTGTAATCAATTGTGTTGCTTATAAACGGGGTAATTTGCGTGAAGTGAATAGTTACAGTTAATATTATTCCCATTAGAGCTAAGATCTTGTTTTACTTGGTCTAATAGCAAATGCAAAAGCAACCATTAGAGTGTGAGAAGAAGTACAGACACATCAAATTGTAAGTTGAAGCACTAAGCCTAAGCCTAAGCCTAATCTTGGATCTGAGCATATAGAGGTGTTGAATGAAACGGTTCAGTTCGAATTCAATTGAACTGATTTGCACAAAAATGTCGTCGATTCAGAAGAATATAGTGTGAAATTGAATTGCATTGATTTGTGTGTGTATATGTATGCATGAAAAGTGTTTGTAAGTAAACTGAATTAATAGTGGACGCAGGCAGGAATTGTAAGTGATGTTAGGATGCAGTTGTAGACTGTTGATTGTGTTTGAACATAACACCAATCATAGTAAAGTAATAGTAATAGTAATGATAGATACTCCAACGCAATCGAGAAACCGAATAAACAACTGATTCATCGCAACGAACTGATTCATAGAATATGATTCATCGAAGTGTGTTGTTAAGTGTTCTAAACGAAAGCTCATGAACTGTATGCAAATCGTCAATGACAATAGATTTTAAGCTGTCAAGGACGAATTTTCAAATTTTGCCCAGCAAACGTAAACAGAACAATATGCTGCAATGTGTATGAGTGACGATTGTAACAATACTATTAATAATAATAATAATAGTAGTTAATACCAGAAGTGATAAGAGTAATGAATTTAATTGTGATATTTTAAAAGGGATATAATTAATAATGCAGATAAAGCATATCTAATAATAGCCATTTGGAATGGTTCCTGGTAATGCTATCTATCTGCAGTATCGGAAAGGCGACTAGTTAGAAGGCAGTAAAAAAACTGAAATTTTGATTGAATTTCTTAATAGGGATTAAACTAAGAGGACGAATAAACTTTTTAGATTAGTTTGAAATTGAACGATGAGTCAACTTTTTGAATTGAATTTGAATTCTGTCATTATTATTTTCAGTTTGTAGTCGGAATTTTCAAATAAGTGAAAATTTAAATTGATGAACTTATTTTGTTGTATTGAAATGTTTTGTGAAGAGCAGAGCGCTGATCTCGAATAGGTTTTGCATTTGATATTATAGATCATATGGTGATAAAATCAACTCGGATTGTGAGCAGTAAAAATTGTTTGAATGATTATGAGTGGGAAATAAATGAAGAAGATTTTAAAAAATTGATCGATCTGAAAATTGAATGCATAAGAATAATGATTATTGAAGTGAATTTGATAGACGAACTGAATGGAATGGATACTGAACGTCAGGGGTATGGTAGTGGGGTATAGTAATGGTGAAATTTAGAAGTGTAAACGATAGAATGAGCAAAACGGGAACAACAGCAATTATTTGAGGATTAATGTTTGATTAGTGAATAAATTACGAACGATAGCAGAGAGCGCAGTGGGATGATGATGTTGATTTGGGAAGTTGATGGTGATTTGATGCGGATCAGTGAATCTGAGTTGAGTTGAGTTCATTGAGCTTAAGAGACGGAAGATCAATTGCAGATCAGATCAGATCATCGATTGATTAGTTAATGAATGATCGATGGATGGAAGAGTTTTATTTGAATTTTGGTGAAGTGATCAGTGACTGATGAAATGTTTGGAGGGGAGAGCCGTTTGGACTTAATCAAATGATAAATAACTACACAGAGATAATGTGTTGATGGCTTGCTTGATCAGAGAGTATTGTGCTTGTTTAAGCAGCAAATATGGTTATTGGAATTTGCGGACTTAAGTTCAAAACCGTAGCGTGTACTTATTATCAATAATAGCATTTGGATTGGGCTTGAATGCATCCTTTGATGTGTACGTTCAGCAATAATATTGTTGCTGAATGCTTGTTGGTTGTTGGTATGTGCACGTGAACATTATTCATAGAGAGTGGTGTATGATGAGTTGTTGTTGTTGCTGCTGCTGCTGAAACGTTAGAAAATGGAGTTGTTGAAATTTGCTTGAGCGCAAGAATTTGCACAAGCATGAGGAATATGATGAAAATGTGGATGTGAGTGAGTAATGGTTAACTTTTGTAGGATTGTAGACAGTATGGTTTGTTTTGAGGATGTATGTGCTGCTGTTAATTGCGGTATATGGATGTCAAAGAGAATAGGAGGAATTCAAGGAATGCAAGCAATTGAGGTGACTCGTGCGATAGCTATGTGATCAACAACAGAGCAAAGCAAGCAGCAGCAGCACCTGCTGATCCTTATAAGCAAACGTTTGTAGTATTTCAGTGATTAGACGATTAGCATTGATTACACGCCCACATTGTTTATTTATGTGTACGTATATGGCAGACAACAAATAAGATTATATAATTGAATATTTATAAGATGAGATTTACAATTAGGTAAGTAACTATCAGGCTCGTAAGATTTGGCTGATTTGCTAGAGTTCATTTGAAAAGTTCGGTTGTGATCCGCCGTCTTCGAACACAACAGGCTAGCAGATTATCTGAATGATGATCTGTTATAGAGTTAGGATTGGAGCATGCAAGCGCAAATTTGGTTGATAGTTTTGCTCGGGGATGAATGTAACATTTAGCATTGCTAAAGATAAATTTATATTGAATGAATCGGATGTAGTAAGGCAAACAGCAAGAGCAACAGCAGCGAGAGTCTGAGGAGTTTTTGAATTTTAAAAATGGATTAAAATATTCATAGAGAAGAGGAATGGCTGTTGGTTGGTATGTGCACAGAAATAGATGTGATGATCATTAATGTGATGCTCATTTGGATTGCTCATAAAATATTTATTGTATCAAATCATATTTTAATGTTGCTGATTAAATTTTTGATTCGGTGAATAGGAATGTGATTATATGTGTGAGATGAATAGCGTGAGAAGGGTGCGAGAAAGGGCGTGCGTTTTGCTTATGTTAATGCCATTTGAATTTGTTTGTACTGTAATGTTGTGATATTTACGGATAAGGGATTTGATCAGATCAGGGATCGTTTAGAAGAGGTAGTAGTGAGATTATGAAAGGCAGGCAGAATTTTTGGAATATCATTCAAATATTTTACTGTTTAGAAAGCTGATATCTTGAGTGATAATTAGGAAATTGTTTGCTCTGATTAGTTTTTAATTGAGTGATTTGTCATGGAAGTTTGTTTTGATGTTGTTTTTTGAAGCAATTTCTCGTGAAATTCTGCGATTCTTTGCGTTCACATTTAAATTTGTGAAGATTAGAACGTTTTTGATGTGTTGAGCATTGTTCTAATATCGTTCAGATCAGAGTTTGAACGATTTCGTGCCGTTGTTACTGTTAATAATAATAGTGACATTGTATAATAATAATTAAAACTAACCTTTTGATAGATTAGATATGATAGCTGCTGATTAGATTATTCAGTTAAAGGAGATGAGTTAGGAATGGGGAATCGGAAGGATCGATGAGACAGTAAGAAGTGCGTTTCTAGATGGAATTTATGCTGGATTTTTATTGGTGGGTGTATGTATGATTGTGAAATTGAACTGAATGGAATGGCATTGAATTGCTAAGATATTATGGTGACATTTGTTCACTGAAAAGCTGTTTTAGCGTTGAAATGTCACTGCGAGTAATCAGACAGGAAACTAACCTTGTGATTATAGCTCTTATAGTGATCGGAGATGATTATTTTGAAGGTTTTTGAAACGAATAGAAACAGTATGAAAGCGTGCGTGCTAGAGGGGAAGTAGTTGGTGGTAATGGTAAGAAATTTGAAATTTGAAATGAGAATCGCTCACAGTTGTGGTGCTCAGATAGAGGAGCGGTGATATTTGTAGTGCTGCTGCTGCTGTGCTGTTCGATGGTGGCTTTTGACTGAATTTCCATAAGGAATGCACATGGATATATGTGTGTGTGTTGAGTTGAAAGAGAATTTGATTTGAAGAAGAATTGTTTGTTGTTTGGACAAGAATCGAATGAGCACAATTGAATTGTTGTTTGTTGTCGTGAGAATCTGAGCATTCGGGCAGTTTTTGAGTGTTTGTTTGCAATTGCATTCAGTAGTCACCGGAAATTTCTGATGAATGAATTAGACCGCGATTGATGCTTGAAATGGGTGATGATATGATGTAAGCAACTTTTTGAAATGTTTTGTTTTTTGCTTATTTATTTTTTATTTATGCATTTGTTTATTCATTTACACTGTTTATTTATTTATTGAATCAGATAATTAGTGTGCAAATTCTGTTCAAGATCAGTCGTCTATTAACGAGCCTTCCTTATGTCAGCAGTGCCTTCCTTATAAGTGTAAAAGTTTAAGCCTAAAGATAAGAGAGAGAGAGAGTTAAATTGGTTGTGAGCTGTGAGCGGGGTATAACGCTGCACTAGATACGCACAATTGAACAGTCGGTCCTGTGACGGCCATTCGGCTCCATCGTCGAAGTTTACATTGATGAACCCGACCGAACGTTTCTAGAATTGATAGTAGTTTGCACGGGTTTTTTATGTATTTTTTGTCAACGATAGATTGTTTTTTATGTGGGTATTGACGATTTGAAAGAATATTTTGAGTTGTTTTTAGTGAGGAGGCAATTTTAGAATTGATTGCGAAAATAAGATATATAATGGTGAATAGTTAGTGGCTATTATTATTATTATTATTATTATTATTATTATTATTGTTATTGTTATTATTATTATTGTTATTATTGTTATTGTTATTAATGCCGTTGTTGTTATCGCTCAGAGTTATGAGAGTGATTCACCGAGATGCTATTCATGCTGCGCATAATGATATCTAGTGATAATGAATGTTGAATATGATATCTGGTGATAACTGGGGTGGTACTATTGGTTGCATTTGTTTTATAAAGATTTCAGGTTGGATCGGAGGTCGACTTAGAGATAGCGACGAAATTCGTTAATTGTATTTTGTTACCGTGTTGTGGACTGCCGCTGTTGCTGCTGTTGCGAAATAGATTAGTGAGGGAGAGAAGAGGAGTGAGTTTAAATGACAGCAACACCACCGAAATCGTCATCGTCATCATCACGCAACTTGGAAGATGATCAGTTAGTAGTGGCTAGAGGTGCTGAAGAAGAAGAAGGTGATAGTAATAAAGAGGCAAACGGTGAAACGGATTCGCAAAAGAAATGGGATTGTAAACGGTGCACGTATTCAAACTATCCATCAGCTCAATTGTGCACAATGTGTAGACAAATGCGACCGGTGATGAGCAATCGACGTGCGGCGACGAGCTGCAGCGATGACTTGATGATCAAAGCATCAACATCAGAGTATTCAGACGGCAGCCGTACCGAATCGTCATCGGGCAGCCACCAACAACGGCATCAGTCATCTCCAGCAGCAGCAGCAGCAGCAGCAGTAGCAGTGGCAGTGGCAAGCTCATCGCCCAAGAAGGTGTCTCCGATTAGCAGCAGTAACAGTAGCAGTAGCAGTAGCAGCAGCAGCACTTCGCCAGTGATAGAACAAAGCAGCAGCAGCAGCACCAGCAACCTGAGGTCAATAGATCCAGCGGAACGCAGATGGCCGTGTCCAGCATGCACATTCGAGAACGTGCTGCAGGCCAGTTACTGCAGCATTTGCTCACAGCAACGTCCCGCCATCTATACTGAAGAAGTCCGTCAACTGAAAACGAAATGTTTGTATTAGTTATCATATTCTATTCAATTGCATTCTGTTCTCGATATGTAAATTGTTATTGAAATGAACGTGTAGTTTGTAGACGAAATGCGTTTAGATGTGACATTATAATCTGAGTTGCCGGTGCTATTAAATGAGCCACAGTGTGGTGTTGGTCAAGCAAGAAATTGATCGGTTTAGAATGCAAAACAATGCATCTTACGCACAAAATGCTTGAGGTGCTGAATCAAATCTACTCGATCCGGAGCATATGGAGCGTATTAATAAAGCATTACGTAAGTGGTCATGCTCGTTATGCACATTCAAGAACTGGCCCAATGTTAAGACGTGCACAATGTGCCGTACGCCGAGACAAAAGGAATCTGCTGTTTCAGGTTCTGTTGAAGATGATTCCGGTAGGTGGTTATTGTTTTGAATTTTTAACATTATTATTATTATTATTGTTATTATGAATATAATTGTTTGTAATAATAATTTGAAGGTACTGCATCTGGTTGGAGCACAATTAATAATAATAATAGTAATAATAATAACAAAAACGGCAATAAAATTAGCAATAATACAACACCTCAACGAAGTGGTAGTAATATGGAAATGACACTTAATGCAAAGAATCGAAATAAATCCGAAACGGCATCCAGAATAACAACGACGACGATGCATCACGGAGCATCCGAAAGTGGTTACTGTTTAATTTTAAATTGTTTTGTGATGTAGTGATTATTGAAATGATAATGATAAGTTGTGAAGAGTTGCGTGCAGTGGCGAAGGACGTATCGAACACGATGGTGATGGGTGCCGAAACGAGGCTGTCACCGTTCGAGGAGAAGATCTCGTTGTTTGATCGATATCTGGTGCACTTGGAACGCAGTGTTAGTGATTGATTGTATTTATTTATTTATTTGTGTCTATTAGATGTATTATCTATTGATTGTATTTATTTATTTATGTGTTTGTTTATAGGCAGATACGGGTTGTTATGCGTTCTTGGAAGCGTTGGCTGCTTTTATGCAGCCGGGCAATGAAAATGGTGATAAATTTGTGAATTACATCTACGAATACGGTGAATCAAATAGACGCGTGACCGCGTTTGAGGTGCTTTTTTGCATTATTATTAGTAGTTTTTATAAATGCAGCAGTAGTGTTTAATAAAGAATAATGGTTCAGTGTGCACTGGTGAGTGGATTCGACGACGAGCAACAGTGCCCTTACAATCACACTCTGCTTGAACTACTGAACGAACGACGGCAAGAGAGTATGAACGATGTAATGCCAACCCTGTTCATCTTCACCAATAATCATTTCGTCGATTTCCCTGGTACTGGTCAGTTTTATATTCTTCTATGGGTATTGTTATTATTATTGTTATTATTGTTGTTATTACTATTATTGTTATTATATTGTATTACTATTGTAGATGTAAATGAACTATCAACATGTATATATGAGAATATTCGTGCGAAAATTCGTGATGACTACGATATGAGACGAATTGTGAATACGGGAGAACATTTTACATTGCCAGTTGGTAGGTACTTTTTTAATGTATGCGTTTATTATTATTAATGTTATTATTATTATTGTTGTTGTTATGATTATTGTGATTGTTGTTAGTAATTTTAATTATTGTTTAAGAGGTGTATAATATGAAACCGTGGTTGACGACGGGTGCTAATCGATTGCGGGTATTTATGGATTTCGATGAGAGACGTAAGTGGAGTGATGGTGGTGTAGAGCATTTTATTAATGTGGTGATGATAACGTTGCAGAAATAATGAAAACGATTTGTTTTGGTGATACATTAAGTGTGGACAATTTATTGGGTGCTAACGTGTATGCACCGGTATTGTTATGTAATCGAGGTGGAGGGCATAGTCTGGTGGATGCAGCATCGCAGGTGAGTGGATTTGGAGGGTTGTTTTGAGGGTTATGGAATGGAATAATGTTGTGTATTGAAGGCAATGTGGGGTGTGCTCGATCAGCATGATTACTTACGTGATGCCATTTACCATACTCTTTGTATGAAGGAGTCAATGTGAGTGGTTGTTGTTGTTTAGTTTTGAATGTGAATTTGAATTTGTTATATTTGGATGGTGGCTGCTTTTTAAAGATTCCGCAATCGATGGGCCACATCACTGTTGAAAATGGGTATGAAATTGGACGTGTGGCTGATGGAACGGTGTTGGGCAAGTATCATGGATTGTCATGAGCCTGGAACAGCCATGGAACAGGTCAGTTACATTTGCAGGTGGATGTCTTATTTTTATGTGAATCAAGTTTCAGATTCACGTTCTTGTGCTAGCGCAAGTGTTGAATCGTCCAATTGTTGTGCTGCCAATGGAATCGGCGCGTTTATATTTGAGACGTCCCAGTGCGACCATAAGACGTGCGACATTGAAACACCCGTTTGAAGGTTCTATTTGAGGGCTTATTGTTATTATTGTTATTATTATTATTATTATTGTTATTGTTATTGCTGTGATTGTTATTATTATTAAAATGGGTGATATTTTGAAGGATTTTATCCGCAACTGCCATCGATGAACAGTTATCGATGTTGTTCACCGTTATTTTTGGCCTTTTCGAATGGCAGTTTCTATGCGCTCGTGTTACCATCACAACAGCCGAAAAGTCTAGCGATCAGTAAGTGTCTTGAATATAGGTTTGATGAGATGCAATAGCAGTTTTCTTCATTTTTGGGTTTTCACTACTGATGAGAGGAGAGAGGCATAAATGAATTCGTGATGGGTTGCTTGGTTGGTAAATTTATTGATGATGAAAAACAAACTGCAGAATATGATCATCATCATCATCAGCAGCAGCAGCAACAGCCAACTAGTCCAGCAAGAAGCAATGGGCCATCAGCTGCTCAAAACGCCACTTCATTGAATAGAATGACAACAACTGCAACTGCAACTGACCAAGACACTAACAAAACAGGTAGAGTAGTAATGGTTTTTTTTGTGACATAGCAGCAATGAACAATATATGCAATATTGAAGGTTATGGATGTGCATATGAAGGGCATAATCTTAATGAGAATTCAAATCAAAGCGCACATGCGAAGCGAAACGAAGGCGTGGTGAGGCGCTTAGAGGAGGATGAGGAGGACGAGGTGAAACAACGACAACGGCGTTTGATACATCGACACGTGTTGTGTCCTTGTAATGAGCTGCAAGACTATGTGCAGTTTGCATTCGATAGAGCCGAAGCAGAACGATTCGTGCGCGATGGGATGTGGTACGATGAGGACGATGAGACTGGAACCAA